TGATACTGGGGCTTAAACTCAGGGCATCACACTCGCCAGGCAGATGCTCTAGCACTTGAGCCACTCTGCCAGCCCTGAAATTTCTATTTTTGTAAATATTTTCAACATATATACTATGTTAATGCAATATTTATGTGTAAAACTTTATAAAGAAGTAAATGTTTCATGAGCTAGCATGCTCAAACTTTTCTTCATTTTGCTGGTGGGATGTGCATTCAAAACATTTTAGAGAACTCTTTTAGAGATAGACAAACTAATGCAAAAAAAAAAAAACCAAAAAAAAAACCTCAGCTATTTCTCCAAATTCACAAAGCAAATAAGTGAGAACCAGAAATAAATTCTGGCCTTCTCAAATTCCCAACCACAGGCCACTTTCACCTGTCAGGGTCTCTGAGATTCTAAACTGCCACCTGGAAATATTACTTCTATCATTATAGATGAAGTGAGTCCGTGAGAGTAAAATGATGCTATGGAAATAAAATTCTGGAGTCCAACAGTGGTGGGATGAGTCCTGGCCCTGCAACTAAATAGCTCTGTGACTCTCAGAGGTTCAGTTTTCTCATCCATCAAATGGGTTCCTCAGCGCCTCACTCAGCTGTTGTGAGGTTGAAATAAATTAATAAACACAAAATGTCTACATTCCCAATTGTGCTATTGTATTTTAGTTGTAATTCATGAAATTTACTCTAGAGTGAAGTTTGTCCAATTAAGTCAGGAACCCTGTGGAGATGGATCTTTCCCCTCACACATATATTCACTCAGACACTGCCCTCCTCAACTTGAGACCAACACTCAACTCTGAGCCCCTCTAGGATGCTTCACTTTGTCAGAGACACTGTCCAGTTTCTATAACTCTTGGCAATACTAATGGACCATGTCACTAGTAATCTATATATTAAAACCATGTCTCCTAAGGAGTTCTATTAGTAGAATCTTAGGGGTGGGCTTTGACAAAGTCAATCAAGACAAAGGCCAGAAATTATTTTATATATATAAACAGAAATACTTGCATAGTATAAACTACAAAAAGTAAAACTCAAGAAGCCATCTTGAATGATATTGGGATGACTCTGTGACTCTAATGGGTGGGTGGAGTTAGGGAAATTCCTCTAGATGAACATTTCAGAAGTAGGAGTGAGTGTGAGAGTTTTATGTTTGTAAAAGGGGAACAAGGTTTAAAAATGATGAGCAAAGGAATGGACAGACCTTTCAGCAAAGAAGACATTTGGGTGGCAAGTAAACATCTATGATGCTGAACATTACCAGTCATTAGGGACATACAAATTATAATAAGATTTCACTATGCACTTTTAGGAATGGCTTAAAAAGAAAAACCGGGGGGAGGGGGGATAAAGCAAAATGATGGAGGGGGTTAATTCAAGTATGATATATTTGATATATTGTGAGAATGTTTGTAAATGTCACAATGTATCCCCACCCAGCACAACAATAATAATAATTTAAAAAAAACCTTGAAAACACTAAGTGCTGGTGAGGGTAAAATCTCACACTTTTTGCTGGGAACTCAAACCCATAGAGTGACTTTGGAAAACAGTAAGCCTACCATACCATCCATCAATCCTACACTAAGATGTTTACCCAAGTGAGCTGAGCACTCATGCTGTCACAAAATGTATGCACAGATGTTTAAACTTGCTTTACTCATATCACCCTATAAACTGCAAACAATTGAGACATCCTTCTTCTGGTGAGTAGGTTAGCTATGGTGTATCTGTATAACAGAATGCTACTGAGTAATACAAAGGAACAAGTTACTTGGGTGAATACCAAATGCCTTTTGGTTAGTGAAAGAAGTCAGAACCCTACACTACATTTTTAAGAAAGCAAAACTATAAGCATAATTTCTGAGGGCAAGAATAGAAGAGGGGCAACATGAATTTGGGGGTGACAGAACTGGCCCGTGTATTACTATGGTGGAGGATACACAACTCTATGTGTGTGTCAAAATCCATGGAACTGTACATCCCAAAAAATGAATTTTACTGTATATAAGGGGGAAAAAGTCAACCAGGTAGTCAGAGGACAAAAATGGAATGCAGACTGTAGCAAATGAATCTTAACTTTGTGACAAATGAATGGGATATCATATTGGAGGAAGTGGGAAGAAAGGAGCCGACGCCAGGAACTTGGAAAAGTATCTTGAGTAGGTACTGCATAGTGACAAAGGAGACCTGCAGGCAAACACTGAGCTCTAGTAAGTAACTTTGTCTCTCACAAGGTATGGGTTAGCAATGTTGAAACTACTTTTCCTGTACTGCTGTGGTGAACAAATAAGCAAACACGTATACCATGAGAGCCACGATAAACAAGGAAGAATGCCAGAATGAGTGTGTCCTGCTGGGTTGTGTCCTGTGTATCAGTATGAACTCATGTATACTTTTAAATATATACACAGAGACTCAGGACTTTTCAGCTTTGGCACCATGGACATTTTAGGTTAGATGAGCCTTTGTTGTTGGGAACTTGTCATATGCATTGTAGCATATTCAGCAGCATCCCAGGCCCCAGCAGATGCCAATAGCCTCCTGACCTCTGAATGTGATGCTCCAAAATGTCTCCAGACATTGCCAAATACGCTCATGGTGTGTTATGTGTGTGTGGTGGGGGGGTGTGGGTGTATGTAATGCCCGAGTTGGAGAAATACATAAGCAATACCCCCATGGTGTGTTACGTGTGTGTGTGTGGGGGGTGTATGTAATGCCCGAGCTGGAGAAATACACAGACATAGGCATAGGTACATGCATGGTTGGTATGCTTACATTATTTCCTAGCTCTGTTCACCACAAGGATCTAGAAACAGTGACATTCCAGTAGCAGTGAGCTCACCTCTCACCCAGATCTTGATTTTTAAATACCATTCTCCAATAAAAGGAGTGAGTGTTTCCTAAGGAAGTTGTTGATTCCAGGACTGGGATAGAGAACATACAAAACAAGTCTGTGATGCAACACAATAAGGAAGTGCTAAGCAGCAAGGATAACAAAACAAACAAGCAAAACCCCTAAGGAGGATGGAGGCTTGTTAAAACCTGAAGAGCTTCCAATAGCCAAAGGGGAACATTTTGAGCTACAAAATGAATAGCAATAAGATTATATTATAATGGATGAACAAAATTAATATCCACAAGTCTACAGTGATGGAAATGAAGAAATGGAAAAGAAAGGACAACTCTTTCTTCAAGAAGAATTCAAATTAATAAATGTAGGAGGAATGAAAGAAACCATCAGAACACCACAGTCATGATCACAACAGGCAAGAACTACTCCTGAATGCTAAAAACAGTGGGTGAAAGTTTAAGGAGACACAGGGCGTTTGTGAAACCTGGCTAATGTTGCCTTGACCACACATTCAGTGTTAACATCACTGGTAATAAGGCAATCAATATCGTTTATTGTCTGATGTAGTGCACTGAGTGGGCCCTGCACTCGTGATGTTCTCCCCCAAGCTATTACCTCAAGCTAGCCCAGAGGAGACATCAGACAAACCCACACTGAGGGATAGTCTATGAAATGCTTGCCTTGGAGTCTTTAAGACTGTCAAGCCCACAAAATATAAGGAAAGACCAAGAAACTGTAACAAACTGGAAAAAACTAAGGAAATATGCCAACTAAATGTACTGTGGGCTTCTAGGATAGAAAGGGACATCAGTGGAAAATTTGGGAAGATTGATGAGAATCTATAGTTTAATTAACAGTATTATGCCAGTATTAATTTCTTTTTCATTTTTTCATTTTTTTTCCACTCAGTGTTCATTTCTTAATTTTGCTACTTGTACCATAGTTATGTCACATCTTGGCATTAGGGGAAACTAGGTGAGACCATTCAGGAATGCTCTGGACTATTTATTAACTTTTTTATAAGGTTAAAATTATACAAGAATAAAAAATTTTAAAGGATGAACATCATGGAAGTATTCCTTTGCGTGACACCCTGAGTCCAATCAAAACATGTAAGTTATAATCCAAGTGCTATACACTAGCCCTAAAAATGAGTAGATTTTCTAAAATTGTCACCAAGTGTACACAGAGGTAATTGAACAACTCCTAGGAATCCTATCTACCATATGTTCTTTCCCATTTTTATAGATCTATGAGACATGCTATTTTTCTACATATCAAGTGTTTGATATAACTTTTTTTAAGGAGGTGGCTTAAAGTGGTTATTAGGATCATTTTGAATGAAAATGGAAAGAGATCAATGGCTTCACTTTTCTCTTTTTCCTAGTACAACCACTCAACCCTCCCATAAATATTTTTTACCTGATTATCAAGCATTGGTCAACCTGAAGTGTTGCAAGAGGTCTGTTTGGAGAGGGGATTTGGAACCACAGGAGAGCAAGCCAGAGAGCCAAGCCCAACATCAGACACAGAGGTGCTGAAGTCAGTTGTAAAGGGTGATTGCTTCTCACTTCTGCAGAGCACTCACAGACTGCACAAAGAGCTTCATGGTGATTGTCACACTCACTCCTCCCTGACACCTCATGAGACACTGTTAAGATTGTCCCAGTTTGGTGGATCAGAAAAGTGAGGCTGAAGGCAGCGTAAGTGACTTGCTGCCCAAATTTGCACAGATATAAGTAACAGAATCAGGTCTCGAAGTCAAATGTTCTACTGTAGTACCAGGGATTGAACCAGGGCTTCAAAAATGCCAGGCAAGCACTCTACTACCTGGGTCACACCCCCAACCCTTTTGTTTGTATTTTATTTTTAAGATAGGGTCTTACAAACTTTGCCAAACTGGCCTTGAACTCAACATCCTCCTGCCTCAGCCTCCCAAGTGCTGGGATTACCAAAGTGTGCCACCACGCCCAGTGGTGAGGCCAAGTGTTCTAATGACATTCTGGTGCCACCGCACCAGGAAAGTAGTTTCCTCAAGCCTTGGAAGAGGTTGCTGGAGGTGAGCAGTCTAAGGCAGAGAAACTAGGAAGTCTTTCCAGGAGTTGGATGTCAGAAGTAAGACAAGGGCCCGGAAGGCAGCCGAAATGGGAAGGGTCAAGGCAGGAAAAAGTCCTAGAACTCAACAGACCAGTGGCAGGGTAAGCAACTGGTCATGTGAGAATGCTTGCTTCATGCACTTCATTGTTTCCTGATGAAGTCAGAAACTGGTGACCGTGGGTGTGAGCCATGCTGGCCTTCAGCTATGTGAAGGAGGCAGTGAAGTTCAGTGACCAGGAGCACAGCATCAGAGTTGTGCTGACATGTCCTAAGTATCCGATTCCACATCCTTAAAACAGGCAATCTAATTATAAGCCACACTATGTCACTCCTCTACTCAAAACTTGCCAGTGGTATCTGATCACATGCAGAATAAAATCCCCAAACCTACAAGGCCCCATATGATCTGGCCCTCAGATCCTATTCAATCTCGCATCCTACTTCTTACTCATGTTGCCGCCATCACACTGGCCTCCTAGCTTTTCTTCCTGCACGTGAGCATCCTTCCCTAGGTGGACAGTCAGGCATCTTGCCATAGGTGCTCCTCTTCCTGGAAGGCTCCTGTCCCAGCTCTGCACGTGGCTCATTCCTCATTCCTTTACTTCCTTCAGGCCTCTGTGCAGAGACCCTTCCCTGACCACTCTCCCCTCTCCTTCATGATCATGCTCTTTCTCCGAGATACCCTGCCTCTGCTTTATTTTTAAACCTGGTCCTCACCACTATTGCCACTGCTTTAAATACCCAGGCATTTGTTACTGTCTTTATATGGCACTTGAATGTGAGCTCAGCTCCATGAGCAACATTTTTAAAAATCATTTTATCTCCATAGTTAATAATAGGATCAAGATATGGTTGTATATTTATATAACTGAGCTCAAAACCAAGGGGTGGGGAAAATAATGAAGAATCTGAAGATTATTTATAAAACTGAATAAATTAAAAACAACCTAAATATTCACACTTGGATACCCATTAAATAAGTTGGTAGATATCTGTTGGGTATGTGGCTTAGACACTTCCGTATCCAAAGGGCAGGAGGCTCGTGTGTTGAAAGCTTGGTCCCCAGATGGTGGTGTTATTGAGAAGTGACTAGATTACGAGGGTGCTAACTTTATCAGTGGGTGAAATCACAGGTGAATGAGCTCTTAGGCAGGACCTAGTTGGAGGAAGGGGCCTTTGAAGGACACACCTTCAAAGTCCCAGTCACTCCTTCTCTCTCCCTGCTTTCTGGCTGCCATGAGGCGAGCAGCCTTGCTCCAGTTCATGCTCCCGGTGTGACGTTCCACCTCATATCAGGCCCAGAGCAATGGGACCAAGTGCCCATTGACTGAAACCTCTGAACTCATGAACCAAAGTAAATCCTCAAGTATTTTGTCACAGAGACAAGAATCTCACTAACAACACAATATCCAAACCTGTAACATGTTGTACCAACACAAGGAAATCTGCATAATATGTGGTTTGGTGTAGAAAAGCAAGCTGTGAAGCAATGCATATGGAATGACCCAGTGTAACTGGAGAAAACTTTTTCTATACCTGCATGTGCATGTAAATAAAATTATAAATTATATATATAAGTAGCATATACAGCATGAGTGACCATAAAAATGCATATTTAGTCAATATGCTTATATTGAACATATTTTTTCTGGAAGGATCTGTATCTTAAACTGCTAACAGTAGCTACCTCTAGAAAAGGAAGCTTGAGGGAAGTGAGGGAAGCAGAGGGCTGAGAGTTTTTACTCTTTTTTTTTTGTGTTGCTTGAATTCATTAGCAAATTTACATTATGTTTTCCATTAAAAACAATAGCAGCAAATCATTAAAAGAAAGAGGAAGTTCCCTTAGCAGAAGTCTATCAGGGCCTTGGAGATCTGGAGAGAGGGGAGGTCTGTGGGTCAGAGAGAGCTGAGGCCATTGTCCTCTTCAGGGATTCATTCCTGCTGATGTGGAATATGTGTGCTGTGACTCAAATGTGTCCCCAAATGTCATGTGCTGGAAATTTAATCCTCAGTGTCATGTATTAATGGCATTTGGAAGTGAAGAGGTAATTAGGATGAGATGAGGTCATGAGAGTTGGGCCCTATGATTGCATTTGGCTTTATCAAAGAAAAAGAAGCACCCATTAGTTGGTAGAGAACACTAATTGACAGTGAGGCCCTTTATGACATCTGCTTCCACACCCTCAAGCTGACCACACCAACCTACGGTAACCTGAACCATCTTGTCTTAGCCACTATGAGTGCTGTCACCAACTGCCTCTGTTTCCCTGGCCAGCTCAATGCTGACCGCTGCAAGCTGGCAGTCAACATGGTGCCCTTTCCACACCTCCACTTCATGCCTGGCTTCACCCCTCCCACCAGTGTGGAAGCCAGCAGTATCGGGCTCTCACTGTGCCTGAACTCACCAAGCAGGTCTTCGATGCTAAGAACATGATGGCTGCCTGTGACTCCCGCCGTGGCCGGTACCTCACTGTGGCTGCTGTCTTCCGTGGGTGGATGTCTATGAAGGAGGTGGATGAGCAGATGCTCAATGTGCAGAACAAGGATAGCAGCTTCTTCATGGAATTGATCCCCAACAATGTCAAGACAGCTGTCTGTGACATCCCACCTCGTGGTCTCAAGATGGCTGTCACCTTCATTGGCAACAGCACAGCCATCCAGGAGCTCTTCAAGCGCATCTCAGCGCAGTTCACTGCCATGTTCCGCCGGAAGGCCTTCCTGCACTGGTACACAGGGGAAGGCATGGGCGAGATGGAGTTCACCGAGGCTGAGAGCAACAGGAATGACCTCGTCTCTGAGTATCAACAGAACCAGGATGCCACCTCAAAGGAGGAAGAAGATTTCGGTGAAGAGGCTGAAGAGGAGGCCTAACGCACAGACCCTCTATCACCTCAGGCTCCTCAGTTCCTTCCTCTTCATCTGCCCCTTTCCTTCAGAATATGTTTCTGCTGCCTGTCTTTTTTTTTTTTTTTCTCCTTTTGGGGGCATGGAGAGCAGTGCCTGTCACATATAGTAGGCATTAAATAAATATTTGTGTTAAAAAGAAGAAAGAAAGCAAAAGAAGGAGGAGGAGGAGAAGAGGAAGTGGAAGAGAAAGAGAAAGAAGGAGAGGAGGAAGCGGAGGACCAGCAAGCTTGCTCAGTCTCACCATGAGATGCCCTGTGTCACCCCAGGACTCTGCAGAGAGCCCGCCTAGCAAGTAGGCCCTCACCAGATGTTGGACAGATGTTAGCACTGTGTACTTGGACTTCATAGCCTCCAGACCCTGAATTCTAAAGGTTCTAAATAAAACTCTATTCTTGATAAATAACCCAGGCTGTGATATTCAGTTGTAGCAAAAGAAAGCAGACTAAGACAATGAGTTTGTTACTCAATGACTCCATAGTAACAGAGTCCTAGGAAGGAGCTTTGCGCACTCACCCACCTGGGGGTGCGATTGCTCCTCAATGAGAGGCATGGTGATGGTCATGCATCTCAATTCATCTTTCTTCCTAACACCTATCTCCTGGCTCCCAAATAGCTCTGCTCAAATTAAGATCTCATTGTTGTTTGGTGGGATGTGTGTGCGTGTGTGTGTGTGTGTGTGTGTGTGCATGTACATACAAGACTGGTACGGGGCAGACCTGACTTTGCCCCCACCCTTCTGTACAACATTGAGCAGAGATGTTTGCTTCTCTGTGCCTCAGTGTCCTCAATGTGTAAAGCCAAAGGGTTGTACAAGATGACTGCTAAGGTCTTTCTAAGCACTCACATTTGTTTTCCAGTCTATGAACCTTCAGTGGGCATATACCTTCTACCCAAAGCAGTGTGGGGCCTTGGGAGGCCCCAGACATGGTATAAATGAATATTTATACCCTATCACTTTTAATTGCCTTCTCCCAAAGCAGAAAACTACCACCTTTTGAGTGCTAAGCCTGATACAGAATCTGACCAAGTAACAAGTTCAGGCAATAGCAAAAGCTGCAGTAAGGAGGCCCATTGTTCAGCACTGCTCCTGACACAAAGATCGTGCTCAACACGAGTTCTTTGAACAAGCAAAATGCTGCATAAATTATGTCACCAGCTAAGGGAAAAGCTAGCCTGAAGAGAGAGAAGCCTGAGCTGCCTCAAATGAACCTCCAGGCCAGTTTGATGATTCTCCCAGGGCCTCCAGCAACCTCAACACTTCTGGAAAGTTCTCCTTAATGAACAAGGGGTTCCCAGGGTGCAGTGAATGTGGAAAAGAACACTGGTTACACTGCGACTGGCCACCTCCATCCACAGAACCTTCTTCAACAAAAGCTGTTTTAATCTACCACCAAATGGAGCCCTTTATTTTTCAGTCATGACTAGGAAGTGAACTAACCACTCATGTAACTGTTTATTGGTCTGTTTTAGCAAGTAGACACTACTCATTTAAAGGCAGTGTGTTGCATTTAAGAAAAAAGAAATGAACAATGCTTGCAAGCTATTTTGTTAAGTAGGGTTAAACTAATTTCTCTATGCTTTCCTTTAGCCTTTAATTGGTTTAATAAGTTCGTTCTTCAAAGATAACACAAAGAGAAACTTCAGCCAACATTAATTATCCACAGATACCCAAATGTAGTCACTCAAATTATAATAAGAAAATTATTTGTTAAATTATACATTAGACTCTTCCAGAGCCTTCTACCTACTTATTTGTGGTATCTGTCTTCCATGTTAACTCATATTTTACTGTAATCTCTCTGATTTCTGATTCTTTTCTTTTTCTGTGGATCCTTTGTTCCTGAGAGGTTTTCTAGTTTTAACTCCTCATGACATCTTATAGCCAAATGGCACCAAGCTTCCCTGCCTCTGGTATCTTTGAAATGTGGAGTTTCTTCCTAAATGTGTGGAACCAAGAAAATCAACGCATGTGAAGAGGAATCCAAATGTGATGTGATCTCTTCTGATTCCTTATTTTTTTCTCACCAAGGTGGTAAGGCATTGGCTCCTCCTAGCCCATGGTCAAAGTGAGAAGAAGCAAGAAATGAGACAGTGTGACCTTTGACAAGGTAAAGTTTGACTAATAGTCAGTAAGACCAAGCCTGTGATGTAAGGAACATCAGTTCACTTTTCTGGGCCTCAGTTTCCCACTGGAAAAGGGGCCATTGAAGTCAGTGAACCTCTGTGTTTCCAGTTCTCACTTTCCACTGTGTTATGAAACACAGCATTGGGAAGTAATTGGTAAACTTTATACTCCATTTTAGATCAACTGGAAAAGGTTAATGTAAATCTAAAATCTTCATTTTGAGTTAAAAAAAGTAAATACAGTTAAAAAATGTTTATCGAATTAAAACTTTTAAGCTACATGATTGTACTACAAAAGACTCCCTTGGTTTTGTCACTAAGTGGTCCTGTGATTTAAAGCTGCTAACAACTCCAGTGGCTCACAATGACACCGCCCCCCTCTTTCTTCCCTGCACTGGCCTGCAGATACTCATTTGTATGTATGGTTTCAGCCTGTCTGCCGTGTCTGGCCAAAGGGACAGATACTAATGGCATATGTTAATTACTATCCAGCCACTTCCTTTCATTAGGGTGTTTATTAACATTCTCACTTCTGCCCATTGAAATAGCTGGCACAAGGGTCCGCTGGCAGCCCCAAGTTCATGTCCTATTCTCACTCTGGGCTTACAGGATATAATAGATTTTTCCTTTTGGATAATGGAATTCTTTCTGTTTCTATTTCAGCCAAGAGCTTTCTGAGAGGCCTAGAAGATGACACCAAAATAGTAACTTGGAAACAAATGTTTTGCTATTGTGGCCCATCTTTGGGATCGTTGTAGGTATATTTTAGCACTACAGTGTGATAGAGATACATCCATCTGCTTAATGTTTACCATTAGTGGGTACCAAATAACCCACTTTCTATCCATACATATCCAGACACTATGAAATAATTTACATATTAGTGAGAGTACAGTCTATTTTAGGAGGAACACTAACCTTTTATAAATATATCTCTAGACTAGATTTCTCAAAACCATGACAATATACATTTCACTAAAATTTAGGAGACTGGGAACTGGGGAGCAGAGGGAGAGTAAGATATGGGGGAAAGATCTAAAAAGTAAAAATGTGGATAGCATGATGAAGTATGAACTGACATTTATTCATATTTCACAATAGCAACACATATGACAATAATGAACTCTTTAGATCTCTCTCTTTGATTGGTTGCATGTGTCTCTTTAAAGTACCACGAGAAAGGACCTGGGCAAGTCACCATCAGAATGACAAAGCAATAGTGACATGGTACACAAGTGTTCTTCAGCATTCTCACCCAGTGACATCCCTCAAAGATCACTTGTCACAGAATATCAAATGTAGGAGACATGTAGTGCCCAGTTCTAAAGAGGCAGTTCAGAGACAGTTGCTTTGTGGGGAAAATTATGCTAGATCCTGCTTTAAATGGAATGAGAAGTTTTGTTTTCATCTGATTAGGCTGCCTTTCCATAAACATTAGATAAGTGAGTTTTGGGCTTTCATATTAGAATACAGTACAGAATAGTGATTTTGTCAAAGGAGTTTCACAAGGTTGCAAAAGACCTGGGCTTTTGTGACTTCTTTTTAAGTGAAAGCTAATGCAGTCTTCTGCTCTGTATTCTTAATCCTGCTAAGAGGCCATACCCCTTTCCTTTCCCACCCTTCATATTCCAGCAGCAAGAACCAGCCAGCTCCTAAGGGTATGGGATGGAAAGTCAAGGCCACATGTAGTCTGTCTGTCATGGGTCTGATGTCAAGGAGCTCTGGGAAGGAGAGTCTATGGTGATTTGTGGGAGAGCAGTGGAGGAATGGCACCAGCCATAGGAAGGAAGCTTGAATCAACAAATACCCGTTACCAAAAAATCAGCTGGTATTCACCTGTCGTGTACCAACATGGCTTTATTTACTCATTCTTAAAACATCAGTATGCTTTTCTATACTGATGGGCAAAAAGTCAGTATACTGGGCTTTCCCAGTGCCCCTTTCTGCCCCAGACAAATCAATCCCTTCCCAGGACCCCCTGAATTCCCTAAGGTCATATGCCTACATGATTAGCACCTGGCCCCGTAAGGCAATGTGCAGAAAGAGCCATGCCTCTGACATGGGTGTAAATATTTAAACTATCCCCTGCCCGTAAGTCCTAGGACTAAGCTGATAATACACAGAATAGTAAGACCCTGACTGCTGTCTACTAGAAATCCTTAACCTGGTGAAGAACTTTCATGAAAAAGACTCTGTGGGAAATCACAGGAATCTGGAAGCAGTGCCACTTTGGTAAAATCGATTTGTAAGCTTGGAAACTGGGTTTTATCAACATGCAAGAGAGAGCGTGGGATGCTCGGGGATAGATTTCCATCACGCAAGCTCTCGAGGGACTTCTACATAAACCAAAATGACAATTTATTAATTTGCAATGAGAATAGGAACTTCTGAGTGGACACTTGTGTCACCTTGACTAACACATTCTCTCCCAGTAGGAAACTAAATAGGAAGATAAATAGCCATGAGAACGCAGCTTGAGCCCACAGCCTGCCCAGGGGATGTTAGAGGGGTAGTTCTAATGCCAAAGGGTATCAAATGTTCTTAAGTTCATGCGTTTGTCTCTGCGTTGGGGATGGATCTGCCAAACAGATAGAACTGGCTGTTCCCGTGAGTTCACCCATGCACTCCCCCCTTGCTGAACCCTTCCTCTCTGACCCCCACTTTTTCTGTTCCAGGCACACATCCTGCTTTGATTGACATGTTCTATCTTTAGATTTGTAATACCACCAACCAAGCTCTAGCCAAACACTGTTGATTTCTTGTACCTGGCTTGGAAGATCAAGCCACTGTCCTGCCCTCCTCACCACCACAGAGCTTTCTCTTTAGGTTAGATTATCATC